TTTTTTTTTTTTTTTTTTTTTTTTTTTTTTTTTTTTTTTTTTTTTTTTTTTGTTTCTTTTTGTTTCTTTTTTCTTGTTTGTCCCTTTTTTGTCTTTTTTGTCTTTTTCTTTTTTTTCTTTTTCTTTCTTTTTTCTCTCCTTTTTCTTTCTTTTTCCTTTTTCTTTCTTTTTCTTTCTTTTTTATTCTTTTTTGTTGCTCTTTTGTCTCCTTGTTGTCTCCTTTTGTCTCCTTTTTGTTCTTTTTGTGTTTTGTTTTTGTCTCCTTTCTGTTGTTCTCTTTTCTATTGTCTCCACTCTGTCTTCTTTCTGTCTCCTTTTCTCAACTAAACTAATCTGTCTCCTTTTGTCTCTATCTACTACTGAAACTGTTTCCTTTTGTTTTTGTGTATAACAACAACAAAACTAAGCCGTCTCCTTTTTGTATTTATTTGTATTAATTATGCTAACTGTCTCCTTTTGTCTCCTTTTCTGTTTTTTTTTCTTTTTATCTTTGTTTGTATTTATTATACTAACTGTCTCCTTTTGTCTCCTTTTTTGTTTTTTTTTTTAGTGTGGCGATGGACGGCCAGCTGCTTATGTGGGACCCCAAGAACCTCGAGGCCCCCGTTAAACGCATCGTATATGAGTAAGGGTTTAGGGTTTAGGGTTTAGGGTTTAGGGTTTAGGTGGGGGGAGCAACCACATATAACAGCAGCAGCAGCAGCAGCAGCAGCAGCAGCAGCAGCAGCAGCAGCAGCAGGTGCACGGGTCCCGATGCTGCAGCACTTGCTTTGGTTGCCCGATAGCAACAGCAACAACAGCAACAGCAACAGCAGCAGCAGCAGCAGCAGCAGCAGCAGCAGCAGGAGCACACCACCACCAAGACAACAAAACCCAGCCTATAAAAACAAAAAAAAAAAAATAAAAAAAAGAAAATAATATTGTTTGTGGTTTGTTTAGGCACCCACCAACAAGTCTCCGGGTTAATCGTGATGGTAGTTTACTTGCTGTGGGGACTTATGATTCGCTGCTTCGGGTGTATACGCTGCCTGAGTTGGAGTGTATAGTCACCTACATGGATATGCAGATGGTTATACCGCATATGTAGGTTTTTTTTATTTATTTTATTTATTTTATTTATTTTTATTTATATTTTTATTTATATTTTTATTGTTTTTTCTATTTTTATCGCTGCTTTGGTGGTTGCTTATGATTCGCTGCTTCGGGTGTATACGCTGCTGCCTGAGTTGGAGTGTATAGTCACCTACATGGATATGCAGATGGTTATACCGCATATGTAGGTTTTTTATTTATTTTTTATTTATTTTATTTATTTTTATTGTTTTTATTTATATTTTATTTATATTTTTGTTTTTTTTGGTGGTTTTATCGTTGCTTA